TGACAGTTTCGATTTCTTTCTCAATAAATAGCTGGTGATTTACTAAGACTAAGAGGCGAAAAGCGGGAAAGTAATGAAATATATGTCAGTAGCGAAATAAACACCATTGCAAACAGATGAATAATAGAGCAATTTGGTTCCATCCAGATACATAAAATCACTAACACTGCCTCTCATTTTACTCACCACAAACCAGAGTTAACTTAGGTGGCATCTAAATAATTAAGAGCCATCTATCAAACTAGAGCTGACCAACCATGGGCGCCCGCTGGAAAGTTTGTCAAGAAAAAGTCAATCCAATTGCATACGAAAGGGGCTGTGGAGTATCTAAATCATCTAAATCATTTAGTATCTAAATCATCTTCATTACTAGATTTTTAAAAAAAAATGATCTACGAAAATGGCTTAAACTAAAAAAGAAATAGGAAAGAAACAAAAATCTACTCGTCCTAAGAGAAATCAACATAGCAAAAATAAAAAAAAAATAAAAAGAATAAAACTATGAATCTATGAAATAACAAGTAGAAAAAACAATTTAAAAAAAAATAATTCTCATACTAGTGTTATTACACCCGGCTTCGAAGCCATTTAATCTGTACGGAGCCACTCATGGTTCGAATAGTTATTTGCAATTAAAGGTACCCGGGTACCTATAGCCTTTTTGAAAGGCCTTCGTTTTTGAAATGCACCATTGTCGATTTCTTGAACTTTTATCATGCTCTACTCATCATACGATGAGCAAATCTAGTTTATTTTATTTTGGTTTTCATTGTTTGTTTGTTTTTTTTGTTTTCGTTGTTTTTGCTCCCTAACAAAAGGATCTCTTCAGACACGCCCTTATCAGCGAAAAACAAAACTTTGTTGGATCAAAATAATTTGTTCTAAAATTAAGGACTAAATATTTGACCCGGAAGCCATCTCTTAGGGTTAAGGTTAAATGATCACTTTCTAAATAAATTCTAGTTCTGTCACAGCTTTGTTGCCAAGTATTAAGTTAAAAGAACTGCTTAACTTAATAAATATATTTGAAGATGTGGTGGGAAATTTTGCCATCCGCCGGCATCGTTTTCGCTGGTCTTCTGGTACCTCATGGTATTTATTATGTTTTTAACAAGCTTGGTCACAATGGAAAAGTACGTAATTAGTTAGTAGTTAGTAATTTAATAAGTAATAATATTATTAATATTATTATATTATTATATTATTATTATTGTTAATATTATATGTACGTAGACGTAGTTCACATTTATTTATTAATTTTTACACAACAGACTACCCAGACTACACCTCTACTAGACACTAGTAATAATAATTAATAATAAAAAGTAACAATCATTTACCTGAATAAACTATTATACTAATATTACTATTACTAACAATAACTGAACTGTAACTGACCCTCTTCTCTCATTGAGTCATTTTGGTAAATGTTGAGAGAGGATGCCATGATCATAATGATTGGCCGCCATCTTGGTTGACAAGACCAGTTAATTCTGTCTCTAAATCTAAGTAAATGTATCCCTAAACCTAACCTGAACCCTAAAATGTATCCCTAAACCCAACCTGAACCCTAAACTAAAACTAAATGTATCCCTAAACCTAACCTGAACCCTAATTCACGGCGACTTTAATTTAATAAACACCGAAAAGACACAGTGGCATCCACAACTAGCATTAGCCGTCATTTTTAAAAATTATTCAAATATCATTTATCATCTTATAACAATTTCAACTACGAAATAATGACATTAATTATTAATAATTCACCTATTAGTAAATTTAATGATCATTACAGACCTGTTTACTGTTTACTCTTACGATTTTGAAGTGTATACATCATTATATATATAGGCCTACTGTAATGTATGTTTATTTTTTACTATAAATATAAGGTATTGAACGATTTTGTGATGATATTGTCATTGTACAATTTTAAGAGTTTGAGGGTAAACAGGTTTGTCATTATTTATTAGTTATTAGTGAAAATTATACTAAAGATTAGATTTAGATTATTAGTCATTACTTATTATTAGCATTAGGCTATGATTATTATTTCAATCAATACAAGTTGATATGTAACATGTAATGATAGAATTAGGCCTATAACTATGCCTCCTCACTCTAAAACTAAAAGAGAATATGAATGAAAATGAATGGGAATGATGTATAAACTTTATGTGAATTCTATATTGACAGTCTATTTTATTGAATACCGGTAATGCAGAGTAAAGGTCATAATAATAATAGCTGCAATAAGTTCTGCCCCAGGAAAAAAAATATTTTTATTTTTTTTACAAAAGAACTAAATGAAGTCAAATTCAAGTCAACTGGTCGGCAATTTAAATATTTTAAGTATAAGTGTACATATAGTCTCTTGAACAGTGGCATAGGAAGGGACAGCACTTTATATGAAGGGATGCATTTTCAAGGCACTATTGGAGACTGCATTTTATAATAATAATTGCAGAATTTGTGTGTAAATGTAGATACTTTATGAATGGCGTTTCATTTTTTAGGTTGGGGTTAGGTATAAAGAATATTTATGTCCCTCCAGCCCTTTTCATTTTTTGTTAATATTTAATAATTTCCTGTCCTATCCCATAAACGTTTCTGAATTTTATGCCACGGTTAAACTAGAGAGTAAAAGATAATAATTCTTCCGGCAACTACATAGAAGACCTCCATAGTTTTTTTTACTGTGCTTTGTTACTTGCTATAATTCTATTTCTTTTGTTTGCTGATGAAGGCTCTAAGCCAAAACGTCCAAATCTTTTGTCCTGTCTATTTATTCAAGTTTAGCATACCTTGTTCTTATATTTCATTTAAACTAAAGACTTGGAAGTTTTGTCAATTTAAAGAATAAAGTCTGCAGCAATATATATTAGTATTAAAATTTGTATACTTTATTGAATTAAATTTTACAAAATCTATATCTTTGGTATACTTGAACTAAATGGTGAAAGGGTCCAAAAAATGGTGTAATTTTTCAATTGTCTTAAGGAAATGAATAATAAATTATACACATTACACTTTAAAATAAACATGCATATTAATTTTATTTTCTGTAGAGTGAAGCTCGGAATTGGAGAGCAGGCCTATTTTTTGAAGATTACAATGTTTACTTACGTGACATTAGAATTACTGGCAGTGAATACATACCAAGGGTATGTTTATATAATTTTTGTTTCTATCTATATAATAATAATTATACATTATTTTTAGAGTTTAATAAATGATACTAGAAGTTTTAGATAACTTAGCAATAGAAATAATGGTACCAGTACCAGTTAATAAATTCAAAAATAGGTAAGGTATATTAATAACAAACTCAAGAGGTGGAGCAATAATTTCTATTTGTAAATTTATTCAGATGAGCAAAATTTTTTAGATAACGTATTTGTTTTTGAGTTGCTATTTAAATTTAATCTTAAATCTTCTGCAGTACCGATATGAATGTATTTTTATGCAGAAGATTATTGTTTTATGGAAAACTTAAAAGCATTAAAATTAAATATTAAATGCTCTACTTTTCTCGTGGTAAAGAATTGTTTCTTTGTTCTTTTCAGGGTTTGGAGTCTATTCCAGATGAATTCTGTAAATGAAAACTATATTCCAGATGAAGTCTGTAAATAAGAACTAGCAGTCATTTTTCCTTTCAGGATCAGTTTTGTATTTCTTTTGTTGGTTAATCTAGATCATTGAGGATTAAAAGTAAATCTAATTTTAAAAAAATTGAGTTGTTGTTGAAGCTATACCTATTTTATGTCCTTTGACTGAAATTATATACCATAATTTGTGGCTTATTAAAACAAAAATGTTTTGATGCGTACAATTTTAGAGGCCCCCCAGATTTGAAGGAAGAGGTCAGAAAAAATAGTTTTCCCCCTCTACTTCATCGTCCAATAGCCCTGTACTTCATTGTCCAACCTCCTCTATCCCAAATTTTACCACTGAATATACCTTATTTCAACATGAAAACTTGACTAATCATGACCAATTCAGAATGGTGCACTATTTTGCAGTACATTACCTGGTACATGTAAATTTGGATCTTATAATATTAATTTTGATTTATTAAGGTTAAAAAATATGATGATGATGGCACTGCTAAATCCAGATGCTCACCCCAAACTATAGAAACTCATGTCGCTGATCTTTGCTTTGAAAAGATATAATAATAATAAAGTTTATTTGAAAATCACGCTTCATCCCCAAAGGCTCAAAGCACGGTACAAAGTCAACCATATTAAAAGAGAAATGAAAAAAAAATCTGTATTATACCACATTGAAATACAAAACTTTACAAACACTACATACGAAAATACCCATTCTAATTCTTTGATTCCTTATAAACATAAACAACACAGGCCAATATACATCTGGGAGATAATAGGCAGCTGGAAAAGATGGTAGATATCATCAACCCCAGCAGGTGTTTGCGAAATAGGTGTGTTTTCAATTCAGTTTTGAAAGACTCCAGTTTCTGGCTGTTTCTGAGAGCATCAGGAAGTGTGTTCCAAATTGTTGGGCCAGCAAATGCGAAAGTTATCCTTCCGCAAGTCTCAGGACGAACACGTGGTATCGAGAGTTTGCCACTATCGGATGAGTACATAAATCGTCATGAGCACTTTGACTTTTAGATAGGAGGGTGCCAGGTCATGCAAGCAGCGGTAGCACAGAGTTGCAATTTTGTACTCTATGCGAGCGCGGACCGACAGCCAATGCAACTCTCTCAGAAGTGTTTCAGCATGGTCAAATGCGCGTTTGCGAAGAACAATGTGAGCTGCATTATTCTGTGCTTTTTTAATTTTATCCAGGAGCGTAGCTGGAAGACCCACCATGAGAGCGTTGCAGTAGTCCATGAGTGATAGCACGAATGCAGACATCAGTCTCTTTGTTGCATTAAACTTTAAGAAGGGTCTGATATGACTAATTCTGCGTAGCTCTAGAAAAATCACCTTGCAAAGCATGTTAATGTGATTTTCCATAGTTAGTGTTCTATCCAAGTAGACACCCAGGTTTCGCACTGTTTGAGCAAACTCATATCTGTACATCTGAGGGATGGTGTCTTATTTACAGATTTTAGCTTCTGAGTGGTAGCAATGGGGATCAGCTCGGTCTTTTCATCGTTCAATTTGAGCTTGTTTATGTTCATCCAGTGCTTAACTGACTCCACTGTCTTCTGTGTCATACTAAGAAGCTGAGGGAACTGAGACTGAGAGGGGATCACGGACTGCTGAAGTTGGGTATCATCCGCGAACATGTGATATAGCATGTCAAACTGCTTGATCACTGCACCCAGGGGCTGAACGTACATAGTGAAAAGCATCGGGCCTAGGACAGAGCCCTGGGTTACTCCGAATTCGATGACAGATTGCTTCGAGGTCAAGCCGTTTGCGATGGAGGAGGATGGCAATTTGGGGAGGGGGGTGTTATTTTTACAAGAAAATAATGGGACTTTCATGCAGCTGAGTACCGGTACTCTAATATTTTCATTTGTTCACATTACAGAATGCCAACACATGGGGCTATTAAATTTTTTTGTAAAACAGCTCTTAGGAAAATTAACAGTTAATCAATGGTTTATTTCAGTCTTATTCACTAATCGATATTGGTTCTCTATAGTAAGCAGGATTACTACTAGTGCTATAATAAACAAGAGTTTATCAAGGGCAAGCTTGAATTTTTGACCAAAATAAAATCTTGGCAATACATATTTGCTTTACCTGGTACCAACCTTTTCAGTTATTGAATTAGAGGATTTCAGGCAGAATTTTAATTTATTTGCTTTGATTGCAACAAAATCAACGTTGACCTAAGCACACCCAATGAATGAAATGAACCAAGTTGACCTCTTTTCAAACTTTAGACAGATTTTTTTTGTATAAACCATCAAGCCCCATACTATTATTATTGGACATTCAATACTTAAAAGTCTGTCTGTATCATGTTGTGGTACCGGTATACTGGAACTGTAATCCAGCGGTTCTCAACTTGTGGATCTTGACCCCTTTGGAGCTGAATGACACTTACACAGGGGTCACCTAAGGCCATCGGAAAACACATATTTATGAAATAGCAACCGAAAATTATTTTATGGTTGGAGGTCACCACAACATGATGAACTGCATAAAAAGAGTCGCTGCATTAGAAAGGTTAAGAACCACTGCTCTAATCTGTAGTGTCACCACATGTTACATACCCGTACTACAGGTCATTTTAAAAAGTGGTAGTGCTTAAAAAATATCTTTTAAAATTCTTAAAATAAAAGGACTTAAAAAAATTCAACACTGGGCCATTGGACAAACCATTTATTTGTAGTCTTAAAAATGTTATGCAACATATTTACATACCAATGTACAAGAGACAGAAAAGACCAGCCTAACACAAATTTATTAAGATGGGTTTTTCAAAAGGAAGGAATCATAATCATTCCTATAATTTTATAAAAAGTAATCAAGTAATTGCATTCATTATAAGCTGCAGATAAGTTCGGAACAGGGCTGTAGAGTCAGAAGTCAATCGCATTCTTGGTGGGGGAAGTTTCTAATCAAACTTAAATAGTTAACATGTACTGAAAAAATGGTGATTAATACTACCGGTATTAACATGTTTTAGTTTTAGTATTTAAATTCCGTCATTATACAATTTGTCAATGGCTTAAGTCCTGGCTAGAGTTCTGATTCCCCAGCCCGCCTTCTGCCAAGCTAGACTGAACTCATTTAACAGTGCTTTGTGTTCATTCATCAAACCATTTAAATTATCTCATGTACCATCCAAAGTAATGGACAGGAAATGTGTATTTAGACTTGAAAAAAAGCGTGTCGAATAAAGCATATCAACAAGGAAAGTTAAATAAAAAAATGTTTAATGACTTATGAACTTTGAGAGATCAGATACCTTGGCAGGATTGCCCCAGTTTTATTTTAATCCCCATTATAACTTATAATATAAGCCATCAAACTACTTGTCATTGACCACAAAGGATATGTTTTTAACTACCCTAATCTCTTAAACCAAATGTTTGATTCTGAAGTACCGGTAATTCAACTGCAAATGACAAGAGCACGCCCATTTTACGTATCCATATTTTAATTTATTTAAAACTTAAAATGGTCTTATTCATGAAACTTGCAAAATTAGTGCGCAAATTTGTTCATATCCAAAATAATTTTACAGCAAAAAATCAATGTAGTTTTTTCCACGAAAATGCTATAGTTGAAATTTGTTGTCAGTATATTGTCATAAAGTTTGAATTTCTGTAAAAATCTTATTAAGCAATAAGGGATATACCCTTTCAATATCCAAAAATAGCAACTGAAATCTGTAGAAACACAATGCCAAAAATAGTGATTAGAAATGCTCTTAACAATTTATAAATTTATCGATACTAAAAATCAAAATCCTAATTAAATCTGTTAACAAGCTTTCTTTTTTTCTCTACATCACTGAAAACAAAAACATAATTTATTCCTGGCCGTAAGGGTACATTTCTTTTTCAAATCATTTTGATTTCTCATAATCTCACTCAATATGATCTGATTAAGAAAGGAAAATTATTTTTAAGTCTCTACTTAGATGTAAACTGCAAAAAATCTTATATTTTGCTTTATATCAATAACCCCGTAGTTCCAGACCTACGGATTCGCTGCATATGATGCTTTTACTAAGACACTCAAATTCTATAATGGTATTTACAGGAGTTACCAAAACACAATTTGCAAGTGGCATTTAGCTGGTGGCCCATTAAAATGGAGCTCATTAAAAAAATTTTTTTTACACTGTAGATTAGCAACTTCAGAGAATTAAAAAAATTTTTTTTTTTTGTACCCGTTTTCGTTCACTTATCTAGGTTCATTTCTTTGATGCCCTTTCTACAGGTCACCTGATATACTTAATTTTTTTATAAATGTGACATTGAAAACACACAAATTATTTTAAAATTAAGTTGTTTTTTCCCCCTCAAAAGTTAATAAAGAAATTACAATACAATAATTTTTTACAGATAATTTCCAAATTTGATGTGCTATTTTTAAAAAGTCTTGACAGAAAATATTTGTTTAGTTTAATAGAATTCTTCATGTGAATGTCATGCATTAAAACTCCCCATAGCTTAAAGTAATGATAAAACTTTGCTCTCCTATAATAATAGCACAATCCCATTTTGTTTGTCAACCCTAACATTAATTAAGCAAACAATGGTAAGGCGCAGCTGGATTGAAATGAAGAAATGTGACATTGTCAGCAAACTTACAATTAATCTGAAAACGGTGAAAATAATCAATTACTCAATATCCAAAGAATACTAACGACACAAAAATAAATTATCTTAAAATGCTTCGAATTCCAAAAAGGCCAACAAAATAATTTCAGTCATGGTTATTAAATCTGAATGTTAATTTTGTTACAATTTTTAAAATAGTTAATGCATGTTACTAGTGCCACTGAAAATAACTTTAACCCTTTCAATCATAAAAATAATAAATGAACAATTTGGTTGCCATGGTCAATGATGAATATGGCATATCAACAAACTTATGCCTTGGACATATTCTTATAAATGATTTAGAGCATTCCGGCTCATCCTAAATGACCTGAAGTTGATGCAGTTTTCGATTACACAGATTAACCGTTCAATTTACAAGTTGCATGAAAAACAATGGTTGTATTCCAGCAATTTAACATTTTAATGCAAAACATCTGTTGGATATTACATTCATAAACAAGCACCCACAAATCCTATATACAAGCCTACGCAACATAATGATAAGTGTTTGGGTTGTCCTTGTCTCTCTCCATGTATTCTCTCTCAATCAATGACTCTATTCTTTTCTTCAGATCTGCAGACTTTTGAGAAGAATAAAGAGCAGAGCATTTATTAAAAGCATAAGATGACGGAGACCTTTTCATTCAAACATAAATCTAAGACATTACACGTTTACAAACTTCGATATGGACGATCCCACAATGGGTGAAAAAGCAGGAGGTTTGGCAAGAGGTGAGGAGCTACCTCACCTGTAAAAAAAACAAACATTTACTACAGAAATATCAACAAGAGGAAACAATCAAACAATTTCAGCCCTGATAAAAGAGGGCTCTCTTCACAAAGAAGAAGAGATATCAAGCTCTGTGACCAAAGCCAAGTTAAAGTTACACTGGAATCCTAAAAGGTGAAGATCCTCCTTTCAAAGGCAATAAGCATAGGCTCGTGGAATGTTAGAGAGGATTTGTGAAGAAAGTATGGGGTGCCATGGTTTAGGAAAGAGAAATGAAAACAGCGAAGGACTTGCAGACTTCTGTGCTGCAAAAGAGCTCCTTATCGGGGGCACCTGTTCCAGCATTAAATCTACAAGGTAACTTGGGTGTCCCCTGATAAAAGAACAGACAACCAAATTGACCACATGCATTTGCCAAATATTCTGAAGATCCTTACCGGATATACAAGCTAAAATAGAAGCTGATATTGCATCTGATCACCATCTAGTTTAAGCAAGACTTTTAAGGAATTACTGAACAGACCTTCACCCACAGACACACCAGCTATAACTAGCAAAGAAAGATTTACAAATAGAAGACAGTGACCCCATTTAAGGAAGAAATAGCCCAGCTATCAAGCAGCTTAAAATTGGAAAGGCATTTGGACTGGTAACATCACAACAGAGATGATGAGAGCAGATATAGATACAAGAGTCAACATGCTGCACCTTCTATTTGAAGAGATTGGAAAGAAGGAGACATCGTCACGATACACAGCTACAATATCAAGACGCTGGCTTCCACCAAAACCGATCGTGCACAGACCAAACTGCAACACTATGCATCATTGTAGAACAGCCCATCAAATGGAACTCCCACCTGTACTTAAATTTCATCAACTAATTATGAAAAGCTCTTTGATGTTCTGGACAGAAAAACCTCTTGGAAACATCTGCAATATGGGGTACCAATTAAACATGTTAGGATCATTCAAAATTCTTATAAAGAAAGGACATGCAGGGTGGTACACAAAGGTAGACTCATAGATGCCTTCAAAGTGGAAACAGGAGTCAGTCAAGGATGTCTCTTGTCCCCCTTCCTATATGTTCATCCTGGCCATTGACAATCCACAGACAAAAAGAGGAAAGGGAACACCGTGACACCCTGGGGAACAACTGAATGACCTAGACTTTGAAAATGAACAACCAACAACAAGCACGGGAAAAGACAAGAAATGTAATCACCACTTCAGCACAGGTGTCTTTGCAAAGTTGAGTCAGAAGTTTCAGCACTAACGTCAAATCAGTCCTACTCTATGGAACCGAAACTTGGGAGGAAAACAGGGAGTAGACCCTGAGAGTAGACCTTCACAAACACTTGCCTTAGAAACGTCCTAAACATAAAGTAGCCAAACACCATCACCAATAAAGACCTATTGGAATGAACATACCCAGAGCCTATTGCTGAAGACATCGTAAGGAAAAGATGGATGTGAATGGGGCACACAGCCTAAAAATCACAATTCACAATACGATGCAAGTTTCAAGGCTAATGATTTATAATCCTTGTGAAGGAACAGATAATTTTTTATAGCACATTAAACAAAATGCATTGCTATAATATCACATAATAGTATGGAATAATAAATTAGTACCGGGTAGCAGTTCCAAGAAAAGAACGCTTCACCACATTTATACAAACAAATTATAATAAGTATGAAGACATAATAAAATTGTTAAAAAATGATAATAACAGAAATAAACCTGTTAGAGTGCTCTATGGTAAATTCATTTCTGGATAGAAACTGGGAAATAAAATAAGTATAACTACTGGTAACAATAATTTTAAGTCCTTACCTTTACTGGGAATTTCAGCTGGTTAAAAAGCTCTGAAATAAGTAAGTTGTGACTGAGAGTTTTTCGGGTCTTCATAATGCGCACAACAGCTGCATCCACTTGATACTGACGATCCTGGAAGACACGTTCTGTCGTGCTCGTATTTTCTTCTTGCTGTAAAACAAAGAAGAGGTTGAGTGATTTAAACAGATGACTTTATTTAATTGTAGTGTACTCTCACGGAACATTAAAAAAACAAAACAATAATGAATAATTTGTAAAAATGAACTCTTTTGTAATGAAATCTGTGAGATATGATATAATTTTTTTTCCCCAGATATTTAAAGATCCATTTGCAAAATAAAAAAAAGAAGAAAAAGCAATGTACTGTTTTTGACTTACCAGTACTGGTTTACAAAGTGTAAAGCCCTTTTAAACCCTGATATTTTTATAATTGTGTTATTATTTGCTTCATTATTCATTTAAAGTACAGGCTAACTTCTGCAATTGCAAGTCATAGCAGCCATGTTTACATTTCTAAAACAGATTGAGGTGTTTCTAGCATTTTCTTTGTATAGTTATACATCAGTTTCAACATTTTTTTGTTCATTCTGAAGATGAACTTTTAAATATATTGAAAATGGTTAATAGGCCTCTGCAGTACAGAAAATAAAATAAATATAAAGCATTGATAAGATAACGTCATATAGACTTTTTAAAACAGCGGCATTCAGGTTATTGCAATAATTATTACAGTAGCTAAATTGGATTTTTTTGAAAATCTTTGAACACAAAAACAAATCCACTTACTGTTTCTTTCATTTGGATCTGGTTGATTTTAATTCTGTACAGCTTGTGCTTAAAGTCATCGGCAAATCGGAAAGAGTCAGTCTCATTCACATCTTTTCCCTGTTATTTAGGGAGAAGAACCAAAGTTAATATATTTTTAAATTCTTGAAGTGAAGTAATCATATTTTAAGCATTTTCCATTTTTTTGCCTCACAGTGCTTAGTAAAATGTTCCCATCATCTGGCTGTTGTGATAGAAAGCTTGGTGACCTACCCAGAATCATTGCACAAGATAATATATACATTTATAGATGAAGATAAATTCGTCAAATCAGAATCACATTAAAAAGCCTACAGTGACATAACAAAAAAAAAAAACCCTAAAAGTTTACAGATTTACCTTTGGAATTTTATTAATCACACGTGCCTTGCCACAAGCTAATGATTGAAGAGTTCTTTTCAGCTCCATTTCATCTGTGATAAAAAAAATGTTTGAAAATAAACCAAGTTAAATATGTGAAAAAGTATTTTTGTAATTATATACGCATATGAAGCTAAAAGACTTCTATTTTTATATATCTCTTCTTTATACAAGAGGCGTTTAGCCTAAATTTTTACTGTTTGAATAAAAGTTAAAGAAAGTAATTCAAGTTTTATATCAATAACTTAGTTACAATTCTTTACATATAAATTGAAAACAATAAAAAAAATCAACTGCACCCAGGAGATTTTTTTTCTTCTATTTGTCTAACATTAAGGGAATTTTAAACATATCCCAAACAAAATTATTTGTAAGGCAATAATGACGTTCAATTATTTTATTTTTTTGTTGACCTGTCATAAAGTAAAAAAAAACAACACACCAATGCCAGTAGCTGTCTTGATATCTACAAAGGAGTATTCATCCCCCTCATTGAACAGAAGAAGGCATAAAGTTTGCAGCAAAGACACTTGAATTTCTTTTCTCGTCTACAAATAAAAAAAAAAGAATAAAATTTTAAACAATTTATTTTAGCAACGCACTGAAATTGTGTATCATAATTGTTTTGGTAGCAAATGATAAATTAAAATAATTCCATAAATTTTCACAGCTTAATTGAAGTAGAAATAGTAAACAAATGAAAATTAATCATAAGCAGTAAAGATATAGCAGCTTCATGACATCAGTCTCAAGATGCACATACTGTAAAGTTATTGAATTCAGCCTTAAGCACGCAGTGGCCTAGGGTGGGTTGCCACTGAAGCTTCCTGCCACTGTGTTTGCCCAAGTAAAACTTTTTGAACACTTCTTGGAAACGCAACATCTGAAATGATAAAATATCTATTTGAATTGATACACACCAAAGTCAAGAAATGACAGGTCCTTATTTTTAATGCTTTAGTTTACTTTTAGTTACTATAGTCGGTCTCTTCCTCTATATATTAAGGGCCTATGATCAATGTATTGATCATTCTGGCTCCTATCAATGTAGAAGAGATGTGCAATGTTTTTTGACTGTTATTGAGGATGATATTTCACTGTTGAAAGGGCTACACAGCAAGGGTATAAGGAACTGAGGGTTGGAAGGCCTGAGGCAATAGATGCAAATGTGTCAAGGGTTGTCGCCTCAACTGTTCCTTTTGGAAGCTTGCTCCAGTTCCTGATTGTCTTTGGCAGGAATGAGCAGTTCCTGTACTATGTTCTTGCTGTTATGAGCCAGAACTGCCTGCCTTGGCCTCGTAGCTGTCTAGGAGGGAGAGGGACGAGTTTCTCTATGATGCTGGAGCAGTGGACCAGCCCATTATTTATCTTGTACATCATGGAGAGCCTGGATAACCATCATCGTTCCTCCAGTGATGACCATCCCAGTGTTTCCAGCATGCTGCCAACACTAGAGGTGTTCCTATAGGGGTTCAGGACAAAGTATGCTGCCATCGCTGGACCGCCTCCAATCTGTAGATGCTCCTCTGAGTGAATGGGTTCCAGACTGAAGATGCGTAATCTAAAAGCGGCGGGACAAAGGCTTTATAAGCTTTTTCTTTCACACCGGAGTTGCCGATCTTTAGATTTTGCCCTAAGAACCCTAAAATTTGTTTTCCTGGCTGAACACATTGTTAATGTGATTGTCCCAGCAGACCTCTCTTTAAATGGTACCTTAGGGAGGAAACTGGCTCAAGCATATGGCCATGGAGTTCGTAATGGTAGTGTAGAGGGTTACTACTTTTAGAGACTGACAGTGTCTGGCACTTGGCAGGATAAAATTCCATATCCCAAATCATCTCCCACTCAGCTAACCGATGGAGATCCTGTTGTAGCTGGTCAGAACTGTTGGCGTCGATCATCCTATACACCTCTGTGTCATCTGCAAACAATCTTGTTTGGGATGTCAGCCGTGGATGGATCCTACATCTTTTGTGTAAAAGCAAACTATGATTTACACTGTCAAATGCCTTAAATGTCCATTGTCCATCACCAGAATGTCAGTTTGCTTGCTGTTCTCCAGATTGGTCATCAAGTCTTCTACAAATTCAAGGAGCTGGGTTACACATGATCTATTGACTCGGAAGCCATGTTGACAGTCATTGAGTATATTGTGGCTTTCAAAATGCTTCTAGACTGCGCTTACAATTATGTGCTCCAACAGTTTGCATACCATGCTGGCGAGGGATACCAGACAGTTGGCAGGGTCAGAATGCTCCCCTTTCTTGCAGATGGAATTGACACTTGCTGTTCTCCAGTCTGTTGGAACATTGCCTGTGCACAGCGACAATTGGAAGAGGATCGTCAGTGCAGGAGCGATTTAACTGGCCAAATCTTTTAGAACTCATGGTTTCCATTGTAAAGTCACACTAATCTATGCTTAGAAAGCTGTTATCTGTCTTATAATTTAAAAAAATATATAACATTATTTTTTTCTTTCACCCAAATTTTATTATTTATTGTTTGATAGTTTTTTGTTTTTAAATCTCTTACCACATTTAACTTTTAATAATTTAAAGCAGTGCTTCTCAAAAGGTGGGGTACACCTTTTAACATGGCAATGATCTAAAAAGATCTATTTAAATAATAACAAACAATTATTTATAATTCATCGTTAATCCACAAAACTGCAGTGAAGACAGCAGTCTTTTTTTCCAATAGAGCAGTACTAGTTAAAAAAAAATAATACAATTAAGTTCAATAACTAGAATTTAAGCTTAATGATTTAAAGTAAAATCTTAACCTCTGAAGGAAGATGAACTTCAACAAGTGGATACGCTGGCCAGAATCCTTGTGTCAAAATATTCACAGTGAGGTCAATAACATCATTGGTATATTGAAGGCTCTGTGAAAATTAAACATAAATACTACATACTAGTCTTTTTTAATTTCTTAGTGCTTCTGCGCAGCAAGCTTTGTTGGTGAGCAGATTAATAAACTATTACACATTTAAATATAATTTGAATGGTTACCAATAAGTATTGCATGGGATATCAAGGATCTTTCTCCATTTTCCCCTTTTGCTAATGTGTCAATGTCTCTGAAGTTCTTTACATTGTATTTTCCTTCTTTAAAAATGCATTAACTTTACAGAGTGGTTAAACAAACAAATTTAAAAAATTACCTGTCTGAAAGCAAGACTGATATCCTTTGACAGCTCCATATCCTTGAACATCCCTTCTAACTTACTAGTGAAAGCTGCACCACACTCTGTTACAACATAATACAAAAATTGGACTACCTTTTTTATAAACAAGACAAACTTTTTGATACATTTTAATACAAATACGATAACATATTATCTAGATTTCATAGATTTCAATATGGACTACAGGCTCATAAAATCTCATGTATACCTTGCTTAAGTTTAGAAAGCATGGATTTTTCTGCATCCACAGATGCACTTTTCCCCACCAGAAGTCTCTTGGCCAAGTCTTTCTTGTAAAATGCTTCAAACACATCTTTACCTGTTTATTAAAGTAACATGTATTAATTTAGCAGATTGAAAACTCAAGGATTTAATAATTCTTGGCCTTTATATTGGATACATCTTATTTGGATCTAGTGCAGTCTTAAAAAAAAAAAAAAAAAAAAAAAAAAAAAAAAAAAAGAAAAAAAAATAAAAAAAAAAAAAAAAAAAAAAAAAAAGAGTAACTAGGTAGGAAATATTTTAACCTTAGTAGCAGAGGCATTGTGAGACTAATGTTAATACCGAACCAACTCCTGCAGAAGAAGGCAAAAACAGTGGGGGGTGTTTAAACTGCAAAACAAACTTAATTTTGATTTTGAAATACAAACTCACCGTGTATAAACCTAAAAATAACAAGAATCTTGTCCAGCAGTTTCTCCAGCTCTTCCTCTGTGGCTTCCTACATTATTAAAGAAAGTAGAAACACCTTACTTTAACACATCCAAATCATAATCTATTTAGTAGATTCACTCTTTAACTTGGTTGATAACACACATGTCAACTGTTAATGCAAAGGCTGGGGCAAATGACTCTTCTCACAAAATCTGTTGTTAACTAGTAATCAGGAAAAAGTGTTAGAGACAATAGATTTTTTTTTCTGGTGTAAATGTAACAATGGTGTAGACTTATAAATAACTATATATAATATGAGATAACATGCCCATTGAGAAAAGCAAATAAACGACTAGAAAATATTGTCTAAACCAGGATATTGACAGATACATAATAACACTTTTTGAAGAAAAAAATAAAATAAAATAAAATGATTACCTTGTTTCCGGCCCTAAGTTTAGAATCCACATACTTTGCTGTTACAAACAAAGAAAAATGTGATATTTATAGCTCAAGAGTTTACCTCTAATAATAAGACAAGGAAATATAAATTAACACAATAATTTGTTTCCTACTGGTAAAATAAATTAATGGTTGTAACTGCCTTAAGACAGACTTACCTATGAGCTCAGCAGGTTTGTTCTGTCTCTGATTGATGAAAGCTTCAAAACTCTCTTTCATGGAGTTAATGAATTTATCGTTTCTCTCAAAGCATTCCAATATCACATTATCAATTTTGTCTTTGAAGTCTAAGTATAAAAAAAAAGATCAGACATACCCGTTAGCCAAAGTAACCAGGGAGTGGCTTAAGAGAATCTTAAAAAGGCAATATAATCTTAAGAAGAGTCCTGAATGTCTGATTTGAGAGATTTTTAGCAAGTGCAAAAAAGACAGAGCAAAATTTCTGATAGTCCACTCTCCTTAAGAGACTGCTACAGGTCTGTGATAACAAATCATCATGGTGGTATTGATTTGCATGTTTTATGTTATGATTGTATCATTTTTCTAGACATTTAGCTCATGGAATTTATGAAAAAAGGAGATAAAAGAATATCAAATAAATTGATGCCAAATCATAACCTTACCCAGTAATTGCTGCACCATATCTTTGTCTTTCTCTGGATCATTAGTTGGATTTACTACAATAACACGCCCTGTTTTCTGATACGATAAAAATTCACCTTTTATAGAGATAGTTTTTCAATAGCAATATTTAATTATTTATTTATTAAACAATTTTTAAAAAAAATGTTTACCATAAAATTGCCATGGATAATTATAACAAATTTTGAAAGTTTCTGGGCCACCAGTTTCTCTAGCATGTTAATACCAGGATAAACAGGCCTTTCAAAATTGTTCACTTCTCATAATAAAAAAATGTCATGGAATAAAAATATAATAATAAGGCCCTCAATATATTATTATCCAAACGAAATATGTGTCTAACCTTTATATAAGCTGCAACTTCCAACCGCAGATATTTAAGACCATCCTTCACTCTATTGAATAGTTTGAAAAGCAAACTGAGATCAGAAATTCTGTTTTCATCTATCAGCTGGTCTAAACCTGAAGAATAAAAGACAAACCAAATGTTAGAGAAAAGCATAAAATAGCAGTGGGCTTTTGATTTTCGATAAGATTTTGGAGCACAAAATTTGGTGCAATAAAAAATATGAACCCTTTTGGGACGGAGCCTTTTCGGGGTGTATATGCCAAAAAGACGGAGCACTTTGTGCGAGCTGAACACTAAAATTGTAAAAAATAAACTATTTCCTTATTATATATAAAACTATACATATTGTAGTAGAAAATTGAATGAAATAATAAAATCTTTATGAATCAAACTGAAATATCAACATTTATGCAAATGAGCTACCCTGATTTGCGTAATTTATGCATGTAATAATTTTTGGTTAAACCTAGAATAAACATGACTTACTTGTATCAATTGTGTGAACTTTTTGATGGATGAAGCCTGAATAAGTCCTAACACTTATGTTTTTGGGAAAAAAGGCCCCTGGAGGCCCCTCCAACCCCCCCTCAAATGGTTCTTCCCCTTTTCCCCCCCCCCCCCCCCCCCCCCGGCTATTTTTCAGTTGTTACAGACACTCACTGTAACATGCCCCCATTTATGACCTAGGGACCTTCTCTTAAGCTGGATGTTACTGAGAAAGTTGTCTGCTTATCTATTGGTCTCTCTCATAAACATTTGAGTGATATTTAGTGTACAATAGCATTAAGTACTCAAATGGGGTGCTTATGCCTTATTTATATGACCTATTTTGTTTAAAAATTCAGAGTGGTCATCTCTGTCCAGTTGAGGACCCCCTAATACTAAACCAAGAGTTCACAACATTAGCATTACCCTCATTTTGATAGTCTTCATTAATTTCCTGGTTGTTTTCATCAGTTTCAGTGTCAGAGTAACTGCTAGAATATCAAAATCACTAAGAATAGTTTGATCAGCATCACTGTCAGACATTCTGAAATTTTACAATATTACTTGCCACTCACAAAAAAATTCCTGAATACAACAAAAGCTAGTAAACTATCAACACAGGCCACCATTACAATGCTGGGATGTGCAGGGATATGTAAGAAGCAATCTGATTCGCTGGGGTGAAGGCTAGCCAGCCAATCTTGAAGCTTGAATTATGAGGCCGATAGATCAACATCTGCCTTTTTGGCTACTCCACCCTGGGCTCACTTGGCCCATCTGTCCCAAGAGGGTTAAAAACATCAACAAAAAAACAAGCAGATTGAGTTAGAAAACTTGGTGTGTTATAAAATAACATAATATGCAAGCACATTGCAACATCTTCAGCAAAACTGCAATTTGTATTGCTGTAATTAGGGCTTTCCCCCACAAGAAAATCATATAAACAAACCTTTTTGTAATATCTGCTTCATATGATTTTCAAGAAGATGCTTTTCCACACAAGAAATCAAAGGCTTTCTGAAAGTGAAGGACGCTTTTAGTACAAAGAATATGTTCCAGAGTTTAGGTCTCTATATTATAAAATAACATCAATTTTTTGTTTTTTAAAAAATAATCCATGTGTGGCTTACCAAATTTTAATATATTAACCTCATTCCACACAGAAACCATGCCGATAATAGTATAACAATAATAATTCAAAAGTGGTATAACAGTGTGCTATTCAAACAAACCCAACTTTTCCAGAATGTAATAGATCTAAATAAAACTTGAGATCAAATGTTTAATTATCACTTACTTGGTGGACTGATCAAGATAAAGTAACAGCCTTTCATTTTCTTCAGCAAGTCGTTTGTCCACATGAATAAGGTATTCCGATACCTTCAGAAGAGGGTCAAATTGAAACAAGATATTTACTTGGCGCGTTACATATTTTGAACAGATAAATGTATATAACTGAAATACTATTTTTAGGATTTTCAGAAATCAATGTTGTAAACTATGCAAGAACTAATATGAAAGGATTGATATTTCTATCGCAGGCACTTAAAAACTCTGACCGCCTCAGTTGAAGTACAAAGATGCCAAAATAAAAAATGTTCTTGCTACTCTAAATGACGATCTACTTTGCATACATTTCAAGAGATAAGATTTTTTTTAAAAATGTGCAACTTGCCTCCCTTTCCTGGACCAGCCGTTGACCTTCAGCTGCATACAGCATCTCTGTAGCCTCTAAAAATTTCTTCTCAAATGCTTTTTGGTAAATCTGAAATAAGACCCATCATTCATACGATAATTTGTTTCTCTAAAATTTCTTTTTCTTCTGATAAAAAGACAGGAAAAGTAGAAAATGATTTTTGTACTTACATTCAAATCAGAGAGCATCCTTAGAAGACTTTTTAGGAGCTGTCGGTTGACAGCTTCTCCATTTCTTTCTCTCTCTATTAGTTTCAGCAGACCATCAACAGTTCTTGCTTCTACTACCTTGTCTGATATGATATGTTGACGGAAAAGATCTAAACCCATATCCCTGTTAGAAGAAGAAAAGAACAAACTTGATCCATAAGATTTTAAGGTGGATATTAATTTAATGAAAACAAACCAAATAACCCCTGCAGCATGGTTTTAGTCAACTGATTAGCAATTTACTCTATTGTTGCTTTGAATTTAGGGAAACTTCATGTATATTCTTTTTTTTCCACAAAACTTGTACATGCCCTTTGAGCAAGAATAAGAACTTACCATATGGAAAGAATAGATGAATTCTGAAGAACATATGTCCTATCCAAAAACAAGAAAATGCTTCTTATCATAATCTGTAATACAGAAAAAAAAAGTACAGTCTTTATAATTCTCAATATACATACAGTTCTTTAAGATAATAAAATAGGGTGTTAGATATTGGTAAAAATATTTAGCAACCAAAGTATATCTTAACTACTTATATCTTACCATCTGCCTGCAGTGATTTTGCCAACAGTTGTCTATGAGTTTCAAAAATTGCTCATAGTCAAGAGTTTCAGTAATGTCCATTAAGGAAAACATTATATGAAAATTTCAGCATTGATTTGTTTACTGATGAAAATTTATTTAAGCACTATTTGAGAGCAAATGTCATTTTAATAGGTTGAAATGAACAATTTAAACTTAAATTAAGTTCAGTGGAAAAACAAAATAATACTATCAGAGAGGACAATAATTCACATATCAAAACAATAATTACAGAAAAACACTAAAAACTCATCACACTTTAGTTAATTTAAGGTGGAGATGAAAGGGTAATGAGATTGAGATATTAGACCTTTGCAACTAGCTAAATTAAAGGTAGAAATGAATTTAAACCCATCTGTTATACACTTTTTATATAAAAATCTCTATTTTTAGATGGTTTCAAATGCAACTATTAAAAAGGATATGCTAAAAACTGTCCCAGGTTAGCACGAACATGCTTCTGACATCTAGTCATAAGCTGAGAATAAAGACCTGTTGCCATCTTGTAGCTGCACATATTCTCAACAGCTTGATACAGTTCTTCAAGGCTGTAGCGTATGGAGCAGCTACTATGAATGGCATCTACTGCCCCTTGTAACTTTTCCCATGTCACTTCTTGAAAATTTTCTGGCATGCTAGGTTTTTCTGAAAATAAAAATCAAGAAAGAAAACCATTACTTCAAAAATTGGAAAATAAAAATAAGTTGAATTATCAATATGTCCTCAGTTAAATATCATCACAAAATCGATCAATACGTTATATTTATAGTAAAAAGTAAACACAGTCTATACACCTCAAAATCGTACATTGTGCGCCACAATCGTAAGCGTAAACAGGTCTGTTTATCTGACTGGTGCTTAATAATCTTTTTTTTTGTCAAGTAGTAATATAATGGTAAAAAATATTGGTAAGGTTTAATAGTTTTTGAAACTGATCTCAGACCTAAAGAATGACGAGTCACAATCCATATTATATTAATGCGATGTGTGTCATAATTGGTGAGATGTCTGAAATTTTTTTGAAAGATGTGTTCCTGAGATTGTGGAGGGTGGCAGAAATGCTTGCAATGGGAAATGACTAGATCCAAGTCTCCTAAACAAAGTGTTTGTGGATGGTTTAATAATGGTGCGTGTTGTTTGTATTCCATTAGGAATGCACCGATAAACAACTTAAACATCAGTCAGAAGATGGACACACCATGGTGTGGTCCAGAGCAGGGACATATGGCGCGCTGCTACCGAATGCCTATCCAGACATGTTTCTTTTCTTAAATGGATTTTGCCATGGAGTCAATTTTGCAGGACTCCTTTCAAATTTTCTTGTGTTGCCAACTTGACAACCCATGAGATTAGTAGTTAGCCCAACACTTGTAGTACTTTTGTAGTTATAGGCTTAATACTAATACTGCTGTCTCAGACTGTACTTAAACTTAAGACGCTTAATTAAGTAGAAGTATGAAGGCCTAGGCTAATTAAAGCTCTTATTTAAGTTCTTAGACAGAGTACTAGGAAATACTAGCACTAGTAGTTGCCTACACTGTACTACCTAATGACTAGTACGTCTAAGTTAAGGCAATATTTAGCCCTTAGTTTAGTCTTAGCCTTACTTACTACTACTAATCTCCCGGACTTGCTCGTAGCAATTTTTATAATAATAATAGCACTAACCTTTAAAATTTTTTATGATCAGCTTCTTAGCTGTTCCAGGCTTGTTTGCAGTGCCAACTGCCGAATTATTTTTACTCATTCCATTAGAATTAGAGGAATTTAGAGCTGAAAAATTTGCTTTTCTCTGAGGTTCAGCCATAGCTAACTTTAGCAAATTTTCAGCTGCTTCCTCGGCATCTGAATCACGCAGTTTTCGACTTGGTTCTTCGCTATATCTTGTCTTTTTAGCTTCAGATTTATTTTCCTCCAATAAGGTACGTTTAAGTGGATTTGAGAGAGGCATTCATGCTTGGAACGGCCTTAATTTGGCCTCTTAACACAACAAAAATATATCCCCTGTTTTCCTTTTCTTTTTCTCGTGCTAAAAGGACAAAATGGCCGATCTCGTTATATTTGCGAGACAAAGAGAGCTTACTCTACTATTATTTTAAATCAAAACAAAATAAGAGTTGTATATAGTAATTACAGTTTCCTCCACAAAAACCAAATAAACAAAAGACACAAAAAATAGTAAATTTTACTCTTAACAGAACTTATCTACAATGATAAATATATTCAGGGCCGTGGCAAGCAAAATATACGGCGGGGCATAGCCTGCATTTAGGTGCCCTGCCATCTTCCAAACAAAACGAATATGTTAATACACTATTCAATATACGTTTATACACTAATAGACTAAGGACTAATACTACAAAAAGTCATACTGTACATGAAAAATTACACATTTTGTGCCCCCTGAAGATAGCGCCCTTCCATGCCTATTTTCTAATTCCTATCAGCAGTCATCAGTACGGAGTAACCGGTCCATTGAAAGGTAGCCGAATATATGTCATTCTTTCAACTTCATGGAATATTTGGATTTAACCCAACCAATTTTTTAAAAAAAAATCTTATTTAAAACATAGTCACTGTAGGGCAGGTCTACAATTTACTTTCAAGGAGCGGGGTAGTGTGAACTAAACGCACTAAGGGTGAGTAGGATCAAGGGTTGCTAGAACTTAGGACAGCACCATACAGGACCATGACGAGGAAAAGCGTCAGCCTGGGGGAAGCCTGAAAATAACGCCGCTCAACATATTGAAATAAATTGCACCTAAGGCGGATAATAAAAGAGACACATTTTTTTTTGGCTCCCTTTGTCTTTATGAAGTACATTGGGATTTTTATCCATTAATTCGCAGTCAAGGACCTACCTGAAAATTATTTTGGCACCCCTGAAGTTGGCGCTGGGGTAGAGGTGCCACTTCATCCACTTCTGAACTTCGGCCCCCCACCCCCCACCCCTTCGTGTGGATATTTAACCATTAATTCGCAGTCAAGGACCTACCTGAAAATTATTTTGGCACCCCTGAAGTTGGCGCTGGGGTAGAGGTGCCACTTCATCCACTTCTGAACTTCGGCCCCCCCCCCCCACCCCTTCGTGTGGATCTTCAGCACCAAAATGGTTTGGGAGAAGAAAACAAACAATGTGACGTGGGAGTTGAAAGGAGAAGAGTTAATAGGTTGATTTAGGCAAGGCATAGTACAAAGCGAAGGTTAAAAAAAAGAAAAAAAAACAACAACGAACCTGTAAGACTATAAAGAGACAAAGTTTGAAATATTCAAGACATCTCATTTGACTCTGAAAGTCATCATTTAAAATAGACATTAAAGGTGGATCCACGTGTAGATCTTGATATGGTATTAGATTGAACGTTGGTCATTCATAAGTCAAAAACCATAACTAGATTATCGTGGGCAAGGGTCCCCAAAGGGGGGGGCCCTTAGGCCACATCCTTTGATTAAAGATGCGTATTTTATGGGGAGTTTCCTATACAACGAACTGGATCAGCTGGATGTTACACGTGCTGATATGAAACCATTGTAAAATTGTTCACTTATGGGAGATAACCGCGTCGTAATTAATCCGATTATGATTTTCAGAAGTTATTAGCCTTCTAAAAGGATTTCAAAAAAAATAAAAAATAATAATAATCTAAATTGTTTAATCTTTAGATGCGGTGCGGTGGAGTGAGGTGGAGTGAGGATTCAATGATGTTGAAACGTTTTGCAATTTAGAAAAGTGATTTTTTATTTAATTTTTTAAATTTTACAAAATCTAACTGCATATTTATATAAAATCTCGCCAAAAGTAAAAAGGAAAGTAAAAAGGAAATGAGTGAAACTAAGTATGGAAAAACATTTTTTTTTTTAAATGGATGCAACAAAACAACGAACGTGTCAGCAAGTAGCCCTCCTCGGCAAACAACAGTAAAAAAAACAGTATGCAAAAATTAAATGATAAACACATAGCTGCAATGTAGTATGAAGAGACTAGATAACAAAAACAACTAGATGCAGTCACATGACACTTACGTCCAAAATGAGCAAATCTGTATAACTGCTACTTAATGCGTATTTTATGGGGAGGTTCCTATACACCAAACTGTAGCTATGTGTAGGGTTATAAATCGATCGGTATAGGAGCACAAAAATGTGTATCGAAAGATTAGCCTTCAAGGCTGATAGCTAAAAAAAAAATTCTACATCGCAACTTCTGGCCTCTTAAATATCTGAGCCCCCCCCCCCCCCCACCCCCCGTTCTTG